GGGTGTCACGCCCAAGTCTGAAGCCTTGACGGGCATTGGACGGTGGCCATAGTACCCAATACCAAACTGTTCGCCATGCTCTCGGTAGTATAGGTCTTGGTCCTGGTGTCGTAGGATCGGCAGCTCGGCGTTCATGGCGTTGATCTTCTTGTTGACTTCGCGATTCTCGAGACCGGGGACAGCTGTAGTCTTCGCGTACTGGTGCCCTAGAGGAAGGAGAGGAACCTTGAGCCCAATCATAGCTCCAATCTCTACGCCCCAGAATCCAGCACACGATACAACTATATCCGCTGGTACAGAACCGTTGTTGGTCGTCACACCGGTGACACGGCCGTCCGCTTGCTCGATTCCGGTAACGACGGTGTGCTCGAGGTACTTGACGCCGGCGTTGCGCGTGTTTTCGATGAGGATCTGTGTCGCACGAGCTGCTAGCGCTAGGCCATCGCTTGGAATGTGAAGACCACCTAGCACCATGTCCTTGTTAAGGAGAGGGTACCTCTCGAGACATTCATCGGGACTGATCAAGTTTGCCTCGATACCCCATGATTGCGCATATCCGTGTTTGCGCTTGAGCTCCTCCAGTCGTTCTGGAGTCGTCGCAATTTCCAAGCCACCCAACTGGTTGAAGCAGTTCTGTCCGTCTTTCTCGAGCGCTTGTAGCTTTTCGACTGTGTACTTCGCGAGTAAGGTCATCGTTTTGGAGGGATTGGTCTGGAAGACTAGGCCGGGCGCATGCGATGTTGAGCCACCGGGCATGCTCAATGGACCCTGCTCAACGACGGTGATGTTGTTCCATCCTCGTGAAACCAGCTCGTCAGCGAGGTTAGTGCCGACAACGCCGGCGCCGATAATGACAACGCGCTGGGAGGTCGCCATTGCAAAAGAGTTGAAAAGTATGGAATTGGGCAGTTGGTTGCTCAAGGCTGTAGGACGAACTCCTCTTAAAGCTGCTTGCACTCGCGATAACGGACCATTTCACTACGCTCTGCCATCATAGAAGCCGAAACTAAGCGCAGCGCAAACTTCAATTGGCAAAATAATTCCCACGGTGTGGCCAACGGCAGAGTGATGCACGGAAGCAGCCCACCGCCCCGCATGCGATACTTACAACATTGGTGGGGAAGATGCCAGTCGTGGACGTAGGGTCCTGATGTCCATTTTGGGATTAGTGATTATGGTGCGGACGCATAGAGGCAAATCGTCTCGGGACTACAATAGCCTGCAACAACCCCGCCTCGCGTGTGCGCAACACCATCCCGTCTTTCTCACGATCTTTACTCCAACCCAAAATTCGTCTCGTCTGATATCAGACCTGGATTTCAGGTAAGTATGCATAGTATGGAGAGCTTAGCATGCTTTTCCCGTCAATCGAACCTAATGCGGCTGTCGTGCCGCAAAGATTCACCGATCTTGCTCGCTACAATATATCATTGTAACAAGGATAAGCGTTGCTTCAACATTGAGGGTGACTTTCCGCCATCAAACCTTGCGCCAACCCATCGCGACCACAAAGCCGGTGTGAAAGACACTAGGCCTTGGAAGCGTGGCAATAAAAGCCATGCGACAATCACCCTCCCGGACCCAGCCTCGATCCTACGGGGCTTCTCGAGAGCACAACCCCCTTTTAATCGGCAACTGCACAGTACCACGTGCAGAAAGGCAGACCCATCTGGACCATGATGCCGACCCGTGTGGTGTCACCCACATCGCATGCCCTCGATCACTGAGTCACGCCCTGAGCAGTCTTCGCAATGGACTCACCTTGAAGTTGTCTCTGGTTGCGTTCATCGATGAGTCGATGCTGCGAGACAAACGACAGCTTATATCGCCAAATCACCCCAGACGCCTACAGTGTTAGGGCATGCCCAACGTAACACGTTGCTGCGCTGTCAGCACCAGCCGGCAAATTCACGACTGCGATTGCCAAAAGCACCCAAACCCTCCCGATTACTCTCCATATCGTCAGGAGGGGTAGTGACACGCGAGCTGCTGCGGTAACCATCCACGAACAGAGGCGCTTCCATCGAGACCAGTGACGCTTTGCTGTCGTATGCGTTGCGCGACTCGTGTGGCGTCATTCGCACTCAATGACAACGCGCTCAACGGTACGTGTGCTCCGACGTTCGCTCTATACCCTCGATCAGAGTATCATGGGCTATAGTCCAGCAGACGTTATCAGCTGCGGTACTACATCCAAGCCCGACAGCTCATCAAGATAGCATCGCTATCTCGATATCTCGACGATAACAGCTGCGATCAACATCTTCAGTGAAGATTTTCGATAAGAGCGCGATAGCACTTGGATAATGCGACCGTAATAGTCCCGCCAGAACTTGGTGGTCGCAGTCTGATCGCGCCTTGGGCTGGCGTCCGTTGTCCGCATTTGGAAATCAGATCCATTCAAGTCCGTGCCAACATGAGGGGCAATGACGAGAACGGTCTATACGTTCAGTCACCATGATTTTCTCCTGCATTGTATGCACAGTCAATGAAACTACTCTGGGGTAATACGACGCTGCCCAGTCATATGACGCCGTTGAGCTCTAGCACAGCATTCTAGAATGTTGAATTGATCACGATGGCAGAACGTGCGGTAACGGAGAGACGTCAAAAATAGTCAGGTTGTGTGGCGCTTGACGGTCACCTGCAGCCGAATTACGTTCCCACGTCCCACTGGTTATCGCTCCTCGGGCACGAATGGAAGCCATAACCCCATGGGGACTTAGTTGTTTGTCTTACTTGATAAGAGTGAGGAGTTAAGAACCTCGAGAAGAGGGTATAATAACGCCTGCGACATCCTCAACCTGACGTCCATCCTCTTTATCAGACTTGTACAACACACAATCGTGGTCGCTTCCAGTTACCTTTAGCACTCCACTATCCTACAACAAGCATAACACCACATTTCAACACGCATCCTTCACAATGGTCGGGTCACTCCTGAGCTACCTTGGCTTTGGCGGCTCAGCCGCCGCCCAGGCTCCACCAGAGAACCAGCCCGTACGGGCCCTCCCCGCCAACTGGTATACCTCTGAAGAGATGTACCAACTCGAGCGACGCGCCATCTTCACCCGAAGATGGCTCATTCTTACCCACAAGTCGCGACTCGCCAACCCTGGCGACTTCCTCCGCTACAACGTCGCCAACTACGACATCGTCGTCTCCAAGGACCGGTCCGGTGAGATCAACGCATTCCACAACGTATGCAGACACCGCGCGTATCCCGTAGTTGAGAAGGATGGTGGCAATGCTAAGATCTTCTCCTGCAAGTACCACGGCTGGTCGTATGGCCTCAACGGCAAGCTCGCGAAGGCGCCCGGATACCAGGAGCTCCAGAACTTCGAGAAGGCCAAGAACGGTCTCTTCCCCATTCACACACGCATCGACCGCAACGGCTTTGTCTGGATCAACATGGATGCGAAGAAGGAGCCCGAGGTGTCATGGGAGTCACAGTTCGACCACGTCGACGAACAGGCGCGCTTTGGTCAGTTCAACTTTGACGACTACGAGTTTGACCACACCTGGAACCTCGACGGCCCATTCAACTGGAAGATTCTCGCCGACAACTTCAACGAGTGCTACCACTGCAAGAGCACACACCCCGATCTCACAACAGGTTTGATCGACCTCGAGAGCTACGACGTCTACTGCTCGGCAGACCACATCCAGCACGACCCCAAGACCCCTCAAGACCGCAAGGACCTCGGCCAAGAGATCTGCTCCACGTACTGCTTCCCCAACGCCTCCTTCACCGTCACAAAACACTTCCTCTTCATGCAGAAGTTCATGCCCAAGTCACCTACCGAGTCAGTCATGTACTACGAGGTCTGGCGCAACAAGCACTCGAACGACGAGGACTTCAACCTCATTAGCGACACCTACAAGCGCGTCATGGGCGAGGACAAGGTTCTATGTGAGCGTGCGCAGAAGAACATCGAGGCCGGCATCTTTGTCAACGGTGAGCTGCACCCACACATGGAGAAGGGCCCACTCTTCTTCCAGAAGCGATGTCGCGAGATCGTCATGGAGCACGGCGCGAAGGAGAAGAAGGCCGGTCAAAAGATCTGGCCTGCTAAGCAGCAACTCGAGCCCACTGGTGCCTCGGCCATCAGCAAAGAGATGGAGGACTTCTGCGAGGGTCTTGCTTGCGGCAACGACAACGAGAAGAGCGACCTTGCTTGGTAAGCAAAGTCTTGACTATCACGATTCACGATGCATGGCCTTGGTGTTTGGGTGTTATGAGTACTTGAGGCTTTGAACTCGTACTTTGGGGTTTGTTGTTTGACAGCATTCTTTGTAATGACTCTTAGCGATGATTTTCATAGCGCATCTATTCCCTCCCCTTTTCTATGTAGAATCCATCTCTATGCCTTTACTACACATTGTCTTTGGCTCTTCTTGGTGACACGCATTTGCGGGTATAGCTTTGACCCTGTCTGCTTCTTCCTTTATCATGACGTATCAGTATCTCTATCCCTTCTCTTCCCCACATGAACACATCCACGCGTCGCATGCCAGATCTGCATCGCCGTTAACGGCTGTTTGATATCGCACGGTGTTTCGGTCCTATTTGGGAAAGATTGTGCGCCGACCAATCGGATGCATTGGTGCTACTTGAGATAGCCGCTTGGGCTGCGAACGATGCGATAACAATGATGGCTTAGATGAGCTGATGATGGCGCATGAAGAAGTTGAGTGATTAGTATGGTGACGGTTCTTTGACTAAAGATGAAGGCACCGATATTCTATGACGAGAGCTCCATTTCACGGGACGGAGTCAACCATTACGATGCGCCCCTCTCTGTGGAGCTCTTCCCGGCGTCACACAATTGCATGTAGTCATAATGGAGAAATGATGAGATATCACCATGGTCTTAGTCGTACTGCGCAAAATGCCATGTGTGCGATCCCAAACATGGCGAATGTCACGTTATGTGATGACGTAATCTGTGAGCAACACACACCCTGATGGCGCGCGGGGCGTGCTTGACGTGCCTTGCATGTATGTAGAGCCTCATCACAACGAAGACCTGACATCTCAGCAAAGCACCACGATCAAGGTATGCGCATCAGCCAAGTCCGGTACCATGTCTGGAGCGAAGCACATCATTTTCGATATAGTCGGCACGCTTGTGTCGCACGAGCATTTCTATGCCGTCATTGACCAACGCCTGGGCCCCAAACTTCAGGCCAACAACATCTCCGCACGCCTCCTTGGTTTTGCTTAGTTAGAAATCGCGGAGCGTTAGTACACCTACCTCTCGATTTCGGGTTCATACGTGCCCTTCGCGAAGGTCTTCGAATCCATCTTCTTCCGCATCCTGCATTTCACTGGCGTAGCAGAGCCGCGCAGCACAGCGACCGAGGAAGATGTAAAGTATTTCATACAAGAGTATACGAAGTGTGAAGTCCGACCGGGCGCAAAGGAATGTGTGGACATAATGAAGAAGGCTGGCTGGACAGTCTGGGCGTTCACTAGTGGAGACCGGCCAAGAGTCATGGGCTACTTCGAAAGAGGCAACATTGACATCGACAACGAGCATATTGTAACGTGTGACGACGTTGGTGTGGGAAAACCGGATCTCAAGGCGTACGAGAAGCTGATAGGAAAGATTGGTGTTGACAGCAAAGCTGGTGATCTTTGGTTCGCGGCTGCACACGGTTGGGATGTAAGCGCAGCGGGTAGGGCAGGGTTCAAGACAGCATATTGCTTGGTGTTGGAGAAGGAGGCATTAGACGATGTGTTTGGCAAGATGGACGTTGTGGCTGCAACGCTGCCCGAACTTGCAGAAAAGGTGACTTCACTGTAACGACAGCGGACAATATGTTGCGCTTGGGTTTGAATCTCTCAATGAAAACGTCGGCGCTGTCTAGTACGGCTTCTGCGCGCGTGACTTACCGGCTGCGCTTGATGTCGTCGGCAATCTTCTCTGCCAACGCGTATATCGTACTCTGGTGGAAAGTCAGTGATGCACGAACGAGGCGGAATAAGATGGCATACCTGTGGATGCCCGGGAGGCAATAGTGCGAATGAACTAGCATCGACAACCCTCAAACCGGTCACACCAATAACCTTCGCCTTGCTATCCACGACTGCATCTGGATCGTCAATCTTTCCCATCTTGCACGTGCAAGAAGCGTGCCACACAGTCATCAACTGCTATCGTTAGTACATGCCGGTTCGGTAGACTTGGCAGACTTACGGTATCGCGAACGGTGTTGAGGATTTGCTCATCGGTCTCAACCTTGGGTCCAGGGAAGTATTCTTTCCTATCCGCGAGACCAGCCTTCATGGCGTCTGTAGCAAAGGCTTGACGCATGCGCTTGTAGGCTGCAACTGCGAGGGCTTGATCAGTGGGGTCAGTCAACCAGCCCGGGTCGATCGAAGGGAGCTGAGCTGTGCTAGAGCTTGTGATAGTCACTGAACCACGGGAGAGGGGCGCAACAAGAGCGCCGAGAATGGACGCGTATTGGTAGCCGTCCTTGGGCTGGCTTGCGAAGAGATTGGAGAAATCACCAATATAGCCGGGTGCAGAGAGGTATTCGATCTCGGGCCAGGAAGCAGGGAACTGGTCCAGCGCTGCGGCGGCTTCTGAAGAGATAAGGTTGCGAGGAGCCTTTTCCCAGGCTAGGAAGTCGCAGACGGGGTTGGTGAGGGGACCCTTCTTGAGCAGGCCATAATCGAATGCAAATTGAGCGCCGACATAAAGAAGGTCATTGGCGAGTTTCGTGAGCGTCTGGACTTTGTAGCGGTAGGTTGGACCGAAGAAAATGTGATCTTGCATATTCTGGCCAACACCCCGGCGGTCAGCAAGGACGGGAATGTTGAACTTCTTGAGCTGTGCAGCAGGCCCAACTCCAGAGACCATAAGCAGCTGAGGAGACTGGAAAGCACCGGCCGAAAGGATCACTTCACGCTTTGCAGTAAGGACGATTCCAAGTGGTAATTGGACACCAGTGGCACGCTTCTCGCTATTGAAGATGATCTTCTCGGCGCGAGTCAGTGTGTACACCTTGAGGTTAGGACGACTTTTCGCAGCCTCGAGAAAGGTTGTTTGGCTCGACGCGCGCTTCTGGTTGCCGGGCGTGATCGTTGAGCTACAGTACTGAGCTCCCATGAGTTCTCCAGAGTTGAAGTCGGGCCTAGTCTGGATACCAATGCCGTTCATGCCTCCTTCCATGTAGCTTGAGAAAGGTCCAGCGTAGTTCGCGTAGGAGACATCCAGAGGCCCGCCGCTGGCATCGAAGGCACTTGCGACGTATTCGGCCGAGCCATTGCTTGCACGAAGCTTGGTGTTGGGTGGTGTAAATTTGACGGACTTCTTGAAATACGGCATCAAGTTATCGAAAGTGTACGAGTCGTCTCCGACTTCTTCTGCCCAGCGCTGGTACGAGCCGCGATCGCCCCGCTGGTAGATCATGAAGTTTCGAGCCGAGCTTCCACCCAGGCATTTTCCTCGTGCGTACTTGATTCGCCTACCATTCGCGCCGGCTTGAGGGGCGGTAATGAAGTTCCAGTCCACGAGAAGGTTCTGATCCAATGGGCTGGAGCCCGACCACAGAACATCTCCAGCTGGAGTCGACGACAAAAGCGGATTCGCGATCTGATAGAGAGCACCGGCCTCAATGACAGCGACCTTCATGGTGCTGTCTTCAGACAACCGATTTGCAAGTGTAAGACCCGCGGTACCACCCTTTACTACGTGTTAGCGCAACCGTTTCTTTACAGATTGGCGCAAGCCGGATGAGCGACAACTTACACCGACAATGACATAGTCGAATTCAGCATTCTGTCTCTTTTCGTGCTCTGCAACTGGTACCGCAGAGACCAGAGAAACTAGCAAAGTAACGAGTGACAATGAAGTGCGCATGATGACTGGGGCGGGAAGATCAAGAAGATGCAGTATCCTGATGATACCATATTAAACCTGGCGATCATCTTTTCTATATACGCGCCTTCGCTTCTTCCAAGTCCTGGGCAATGCTAGTGAGATCCGAATGCCGGGCTCAACCACAAACTATGGCTTTTCTGCGATCTTGGACACTACGTTAAGTTGGAGCAGTCGCAAACTACAACACCCCCAGACCTGGTTTGGAGGGCATGGCGCGATAAAAGGCTGAGCTCAAGTAGGTCTAGAGAAAGGATACCTAGCTACTTTGAACGGAAGATCACCCGACAAGCTTTTTAATCCAGGCTCCTCGCTCGGCTGCATTTGCCTACGAAACATTGGCTTTTATTTTACGAACACTCAGCGAGTGTGAGATGCTTTTCAGGTGGTCGAAGCTCGAAGCCACAAATTATACTTTATTTGGAGGCTTCAGATGTCCCGAAGAGCCGAGGCCAAATTGGCAAGCTTCCCTACGATTACTTAGGTGTGAGTCTGAGCGCAGTGCGTATCGAGCCCCTATCCCTGGAGACAGCCGTTTGGAGCCGAATTTAAGTACCGCCTACGTGCGCTATAGAATCCGTGCCGTCTTTTGGTCTCTGGGCCTGAGCGCTAATGGACGTTTGAGCTGGAACTTTAGCCGAGCTTTTGTTTTAAGTATTGGGGGCTTGATGACGATGTGCGCATCTGTACCTTGTGATCTCGTGAATGCTGACTTGGCAGAGCGATGCGATGCTTCCTTTAGCATAGGCTTTTGCGAACATTCCACTCCGATACAAAACGTCGTGGTCGACCATGACGAGATCTTTCCGAAGAAGTGCGCGCACAAAACACCAACACCGGGCTAACAACGTTGGATGCCTGTAGATCGAGCCTTTTCCCCGAATTTCATCTTGGGCTTAGGAGCGGGCTGTTGTTCTGCTCTCTCCCCAATGCTTCGCGCGTCGCGTTACCAGAATACTTTTAAGATCTAGACAACACCAAGCCGCTTGAAAAACGGGTTGCGCGAAAGAGCTACTAGTACAACGTCTGTGCGCACCATCATCATGGAACACCACCACTAGCGAGTAGAAAACCAGTTTGGATAGCTGCATACGACAGCTGGAGGATTCACAACCCCTCCCATTAAATTCGGTACTACACACCCTCAGCCTCCTGCTGCCAACTCCCATAGTTGGAATACGGATATGCGCAAGCTTTCATCCTTCACAGGCCCAACTTGAGGCACATCCAAGATGCATGCTCAACAGCATCCTTCACCCAATACTCAAGCACTCTTGCGCGGGGTGAATCGTAGCTGAAGAGCCGGAAGCGTCACGGTGAATGTGTCCATTATCTCCTTCTCAAATGCCTCTCCATTCTCTCCAGGCGCGAAGGAGACGTCGAAATTCTGCGCGATCATCGAAAGCGAGATACGTAAGCTCATTTGGGCCAGGTTCTTGCCGGGGCAGCTGTATGCGCCTACGAGAATGTTAGCTGCTGACTGCGAGTCTAGAACGACGACCGTATGAAAGGACTTACCCAGAGAGAAAGGCAGGTATGGAGCCTGGTCAGTCTCCATCTCTAACCTCTTTTCACCAAAGCGCTCTGGGACGAAGTCTTCAGCTTGCTGCCACCATCGAGGGTCTCTTTGGATGAGCGAGACTGGAACCACAACGTTCGTGTTGCCGGGAATGTACGTGTCGTCGATTTGGATGCCCTTTGCTGGTGTTTCGCGCGCTCCACCTGTCAATAGCGCCGGACGAAGTCGCAGTGTCTCGCTGAGGAAATCATCCAGATAGGAGATTGACTTGACCTTTTCGTACGACCACTGGCTGTATCCACCCGGCATTGCTTGGTCGAGGAATTGCTGCAGCCTTTTCTGCTTGTCGGGGCATTTGGCGAGGTAGTAAAGAGCTCCTGCGAGCGTTGTGGCTGTAGTTTCACTTCATATCGTCAGCAGTGTCTTTGGGTTTGTACATCACAATTGCCTACCTTCCGGCAATAATCATCACTCTCGAATCGTCCTCCAAGGCTTCTGGGCTTGGCGAGGCGGAGACGTCGTTCTCTTTGACGGCCTTGAGTAACCAGGATACGACGTCCTGAGGATACTTCTCGCCATCCCAGGTCTGTATTCCGTTAATTTTTTGTCCCCGGTAAAACGATCACAACACATACCTTATGCTTTTCGCGAATCTGGCCTGCGCAGAAGGAGAAGAAGTCCGAATAGCCGGCCGCCGCTCCAGGAATAGAGCCCAGAACGTTCAGGAGCCACGGAACCGTGCTCATAATTCCCAGCATGGTCATGTGGGCATGCACTCCCTTGATAGCAGGGTGCTCGACACCGCTCGTAAGATTGTTAAAGTCTTTGCCGAAGCCGACCTCACCCATGACGTCGAAGCTGAAGAACATTGACCAGGTGGACACATCCATTGACGTTGCTCCTTTGGTTGCCAGTTGGGACTTGAACAAGTCCGCCTTTGCCTTGATGCGTGGTTCGTAGGTGTTGAGCGCTTGTAAAGTTAGAGGTACTCGTGTAACTCGTGAGCCTATACACACCTTTGATGGAAAACCCGCGATCCCATGCTCGGCGACGAAGGCGGTGGCCGTTGAAGTCACGCGTCATGTGTATGGAACATTTCTTTGGGTCGTTCCCGGTTTGGCCGTACCATGTTGACTTCAAACATTCCGAGTTGGGCCCATAAAGAATCGGAACAGCTGACTTGCGTAGAACACTGATCTCTCGGGGACCTTTGATGACTATTAACATCTGCTCGTGCAAAGCCTCAGTTGGATGTTCGCTCACCTGTGCGCACGAAGTCACCGTACTGCTCGTGCATCTTTTCCAACTCTCTGAAGTATTTGACGTCCTTCGCTGCGAGACTTGCAGCGTGAAACTTGGAGACTTTTGCTGCGAACGGCCCTGGGAATTTTCGACACCGGTGGAAGAATACTCGGTACATGGCAATGCTGGCGAGCAATCCGGTGCTGAAACTGGTCGCAAAGAGTAAAGCTTTCGCCAATCCAAATACGTAGAACATCCCGAAGAAGCTCAAAGTGAAAGCTGCCATGAATTGGAACATGACCAGCTCAAACTCGAACGGTCGAATCGAGAAGTGGAAAACGATACCACACAGAACAGCAGCTGCGACACCTTGCGACACGCTGCGCTGAGCGGCATCTCGAAATAGTTCCATTGTCATCGTGGAAGCTCCGAGAGTCTAGCAGAGCTCTCCAGTGGGATTCAAGATGTCGAGGAAACGAGCAGGGCGTCAGCTCGGAGACAGAATCCAAGGTGCATGGCTTCGAATATAGGCGTCCCAGCCAACACGCGCTATTCGCCCACTTGATCGTTTCCAGTAAACCTCCGCGAGTTTTGAAGACGGCTGGTATCTTCTCCACGGTCCGAAAATCCCCATGATGAAGATGCAGGAGTAGCGCGCATCCTTCGAGGGGGTTTGATTTACCTAAACTCTGAACGGTTCAACGCCATTGAGCGACCTCTGATAGGCCCGAGATATTCCAGGCGTGCCTTGCTAGCTGCAGCATGCCCTGTACAACCCACGTCTCGAATTTTCCGACTCTTTGCCAGTGACTGCGTGGTCTGCGTGTTGAGCCCGGGGCTCGATTCTCGCAACGATAACGCAGCTGCACAGCACCTGGACTTGAGCGGCCAATATGCTCTTCCAGTGGATGCTTGTATGCGTCTACATACTGTTCAGGAGCGTCGGGTGTCCCACTTGGGCTCTTGTTGCAGTGAAGCTAACGGCTGTTGTGGTGGACGTGCCACCTGGCAGCACGGCTCTGCTAGCGGGGCGCGGAAGCGGCTCGCCTGCAGCCACGGCTGTTGTCTTCACCCGCTCCCCTGGGGACCACGCGTTGACGCCGGGCGACTCGACCAACGGGAACCACGTCTTGTTGCGGCAAATGCGCAGCACGAAGGATCCTTCGCTTCTCGCGATTCATGCCAGGCCACCCATATACGCACATCCTTTCCAACAATCGGGCCTCCTTCAGCTGCCCAGGTAGAGTCTTCGGGCTGGGGATCCTGCCGTGCTCTTCCCTCGTTTCCTGCGCTCATGGCTTTGCGGAAGCATGCTGGCATCTTCGTGGAGATTTCAAGCAGCTTCTTATGTTCACCTGTTCTAAACGCATTCCTAGCTTGTGCTTGTCGCCGGCTCGGGGCAGCCCTCGCACTAGATTAGGTTGAGGGTCGAGCCGCGAACCCACACGCGGCCAACCTGCCCGCTCCCTAGGCGCCGGCTTGACGCTATGAAGCACAATTATAATCATGCATAGCGGCCTGGAAGCACAACTTATCCTGGAGGATGCGGAGGATCCGACAGGAATACTTTAAAAACAAAGCTCAAATATGGACATCACTTACCGATCGTGGCAATGCATGCATCGCATTCGGTTTGATGCATCGGGGATATTTATCTCGAGGCCGTGGGGGTGGGAAGGGCAGGGTGTTGGTGCCAGGCCTTGAAACCGTTCGTAAACGGGGCGTAACGAGGACTTCTTTTTGTGAGCATTCATCTCCTACAGGTACTTCTTGAATCGTCGAGCTTCCGCTCAGGTTGAGAGTTGAAGTATTCGAGAGAATACTGTCGTGGCCATGGCACTGACGACTCTCCAGCCACTGGCTTATGCTGTGGCATACGTTTCTTTCTTCTTTGGAACCGTTTCCATATTCCTTCGTTTTTATTGCCGGCACTTTGTGCTGCGCACTAGAGGATGGGATGACAATTTCGCGATCTTGATTCTCGTAAGTGTCCCAGATCTCGATACATCCATATTCGTATGCCTAACAAGCCTTTAGCTCTTCAGTGTTGGACAACAAGTTGTCCTGCACATGTTCATATATTGGGGATGCGGACTGTAAGACCACTTCGATTACTCCCTGACGATCTATCACTTACCATTGGCGCAGACACATGGATACCCTCAGCGTAGTTCAGCAGCTGGAGATTCTCAAAGTATGGTCCAAGATTGACACTCCTTCTTCACCGTTCTGACTAGTATCAAGTGGCTCTTCATTGAAGAAGTGGTTTACTACTCAGTTCACTGGGTGATCAAATCAGCTTTCCTCCTTTTCTACCTCCGTCTTTCGCCAAGCCCTACTTTTCGAATAGCGGTATACATTGGTGGCGCTTTGAACGGTGCCATCCTGATTATCAACATGTATGTAATACCTCCACTATCAGCACCAAAAGCTGTTCTGAATACCACTGCGCAGTCCGTTCTGACCCTCACCGCAGTCTATTGGCATGCTTCCAATGCGTTCCATTTGATGAGATCCTCCACCCAGGCACGCATCCAGATGCTGTCTGCATCAGCAAACTCGTCCTTCTCATAGGGCCTTCCATCCTCGTAAGTTCAGGACTGCCTTTCCAAAGAACGAATTACTGATCATGTTGCAGAACATCTTGGAAGACTTTTACATCCTCATCCTCCCTATATATACCGTCATGAATCTCCAGATGTCGCTTCGACGCAAAGCTGCAGTACTGGGCGTCATGGTCTTTGGCAGCAGTTCCGTCATCATCGCATGTTTCCGACTCATGCCCCTCCTCGAGCTCAACGACTCACCGGACACATCATGGGTGCTGGGAAAGATGGTCATTGTCGCGGCACTCGAAATACAATTCGCGATCATCGCGGTCAACCTGCCGAGTCTCAAGGCACTGTGGACAAAATTCGGGGGTGGAAGTTCATCTGGATCGGGGCCTGGCGGAGGCAGCTCAACCCAAAAAGGCTACAAGCTCTCATCGCTTGGACAGATTGTGACTATCGGCTCTGAAGCAAAAGGACCGCGGGGATCGAGATGGGGGAAGAAGGCTCGCAGAGGGAGCATCACACGGTTGGAACAAGGCGTCACAGCTACTGAGTCGGAAGAAGAGCTGTGTCGGAAGGGCGGAGCGACATCACAGACAGGGCACTTGGCACAAGAGGGCGACATTGGCGCTATCAAGGTTACGAAGGATTACGATGTGAAGAGTTCAGACTGTTCAGGGCGCAAGGAGCCCGCCGGCATTACCTCGGACTACTACTTGAAGAGTATGTAAGTCTCAACATCAAAAGTATCTATTATCGTCACATACACCTAGATCCTCACTGGTCCAATGTGAACGCGATATGGAGGCATATGAGCATATATCTTCCACATTATGCATAAAGCCTCACCAGTAATCCCCTCCGTGCTAAATCAGGCAAGCGTTCTTTCCGCAACACGTCTTGTGCAACATTTTTCACCATGGACATTATCGGAATTGCCGAGAATATGAGTGGCTCGCAGCTCGCTACCTAGGTTCCGAGACCCAGCGGATGGTGACCACTAAATGGCGTGTAGCTAGTGCTGCGCGACCATATTTCAACTTGCAATCTTTTCCTTATGATACTTGACTACCCTTTCGCCACATTCCAGTACTCACCTAATCAACATCGTCGGCCGTCGTTTGAAATGTCTTTTTTCGACGCGGCCCTGGCTAGGTTCCAGTTCACGATGTACCGACTGGCCGTCGTACTATCACGTGTCGAAGCCGACACCCTCCGCATTCCGCCGCTCCTGCGTTTCTTCACAGCAGGAGCAGAGCCGCACGAGCTGCACCTGCAAGCTTTCATGTTTGTTGTTGCCCCACTACACGCCTTCTTCACCATGCCCCTGCTTGACAAACTGTCGGGTAAGCGCGAACCCATGTCATGGTATGGCCACCTTCGTCACTGTCTGATGTGGTACTTTTTCTATTTGACGCTATTCTGGACGGTCATATTCATTGTAAGATGATCATCCAGCTCATCGAATTTCGTGACGCTGATGTTATCGCAGACTCGTGTGTGATCGCATGCTCCGAGTGCGTTGGTGTTGTTTCTCACGTTACATTAGTCTGGACATCATTTGCTGCATCAATGATATCCTGCGCCAGCTTCTCCGCATGTGCATAAGTGACACCCTGCGTGTGTCCTGGTGCCGAGAACGGCAGAGAGCTCGCATCCACAACCCTCAGGCCACTCACGCCGAACACCCTAGCTTTGGAGTCTACGACCGCTCCGCTCGATGCATCTCTTCCCATCGCGCACGTCGCGGCGCCGTGATGAATAGCGCCCATACCCTTCGTCCTGATATACTGTAAGATCTGCGCATCGGTCGTGATGTTCGCCCCCGGCGCTATCTCTTCTCCAAACGCGGATACGCTGGCTGCAATCGTGCGCGCGCGTCTGTATGCCGCTACAGCAAGTTCCTGGTCTTCGAGCGAATCAAGCCAGCCGACGTAGACGATGGGTGCAACAGCATTGTCAGCCGACTGAATGGTAACATTTCCCTGGCTCGTGGTGGAAGTCAAGATTGTGCCTATGACACCCGTGTCGCTAGCAGCCTGGGCCGAGGACAGAATGCGTTCTGAAGCTTGCAAAACATACTCCACGTTCGGCCAATCGCTTGGTAGATTCCGCAAAAAGTCGAGAGTTGATTGGCTCATATTCGTCGTAAAGCGCTCGGGAAACCTTTCCCAGGCGGCGAAATCGCTCGCGGGACTACTGAGCGGGCCAGATCCGTTCGTCAAGTATTGCTCAACAGCGGCTTCGAAAGATGATGACTGGCGCTCCCAGGCACTTCTTCCAGGAACGTTCGTGCGATGGACGACACCACCAATAGCGGGTGTGTCTCGGAGATTCTGACCCACGCCGCTGAGGTCTGAGAGAACGTTTATATTGTGTCGCTCGAGCACCTCACGCGGCCCGATTCCAGAAACCATGAGTAGTTGGGGAGTATGAATAAAACCACTCGAGACGATGACCTCTTTCCGGGCATGGACGATGAACGGCTTCATCCCAGCGACGGTGACGTTCACACCTATGGCGCGCTTGGACTCATCGAAGAGAAGCTTACGCACCATGCAGGACTGGTAGATCTTCAAGGATGTCTTTGCAGCTGTCGGAGAAAGAAAAGCAGACTCGGTACTACTTCTCGTACTGTCCTCGGGCCTCAGGGTAAACGGCCAGTAGCCATACCCTAAAAGATTCCCATCTAGGAAGCCATTCGCCGCATTCATTCCAGCGGCTGCGTATCCTTCTGGACCGTACGAAGATATGGGCTGCGCGTACTTGGGCAAACTTAAATGAACAGGGCCTCCCGGGACGTCGAAAGCAGAAAGCGTGTAGTTGACGTTGCTTGCGTTCTTCGCGCGGAAACGAGAATCTGGGGGTGTGAACGAGAAGCTTTTCTTCATGAAGGGAAACATGTTTTCCCATAGGTAGGCGGGATCTCCAGTGAGGTTTGCGAACGACTCATACCAGCCTTTAGTCGCTCTGTGGAGCTCAGTCAGACCGTGCAGTGCAAGTACGCATGGAAGATATTACCTGTGATAAATCTCTTGGTTCCGTGCCGAACTACCCTACACATTTGCCCAAAGTCAGTTTCTTGAACAGCTTCACTTGTTCAAGATCAGAACATACCCCAAGTGTCTTCCCCTGCGCATAGTGAAAGCGTCTCCCGTTGGCACCAGGTATAGGCTCGGTGAAGATACCCCAATCTATCAACGGCTGGTAATCCTCGGGATTTGGACCAACATACTTAGTCGAATAGTATGGACTGTTTCACAGTCAACATGTACGCCTGATATACCATTTCGCATTTACTCACATCTGGCTGTAGTTACCGTTCGATATCTCATAGAAAGAGCCCGCTTCAATGACTGCGACGGTCATGTTCGGCAACGCCTCTGCAATCCGGGATGCCGTGAGAGCGCCGGCCAAGCCAGCTCCAACGACGACATAGTCGTACGTCGCGTTAACGCCAGGGTTTCCGAAGGAGTTACCAAGTAACCGCCCAGGAGCGTAGAATTGCTGTAGTAAGCTTGGACTGTCAAGGTCGGCTGAGATCAAAGAGGCCAAGAGACTGACTGTCGTTGCGGATACGCGCATCTTGTTGGGTTGTGGTGCTAAACGAAGTACCTCTGACACAGCGAAAACACACATCGCCATCCATCTTTTATACTGTAGGACTGTACTTCACTAGGTATGACACAGTCCCATGATCTGCGGACATCTTAAGCGAATACAAGTCGGCGATGCTATAGCCTTATGCATTGTCGCAATGATGGCCTGCAGAAGATCTGTAAGGGCAAGTTGCCGTTTGCGATTGAAAGCATCCTCGTTGGATGTTCTGACAGCCACTAAAAGGATTGACGTGTGACGGCTCTGTCCCGAAGGCTTTTTTAGCGGCGATCAGTGCATGCCCAGCTTACTTGGGGTAAGAGGATGGTGCTTGCGCTGCAGGATGAGTGATGGCGAGTAAGCTGCGATCGACTGTGCCACCCTCATACATCGGATCGATCGAATGCTTCATCGAGATAGGGGTGGCATCCTTTCGGAACGCTGCACGCACTTATGCGGTCGGGAGGCACGGCGGCAGCTGAACGTTCGTGGGATGCTTCCTGACGGCTTGGTCCGCGGTCCGCTGTCGCGCGATCGTGAAGTTCGAGGTCCGCGGAGGCAGGCCGGTTTCGTCAGCGATCGTCGGCCGTCACGTGCAGTGGTTCCGACCTCCGGACCCTCCACGAAACTCCCGACCACCGATCCATCAACGCAGCGCCGCCAGCCTATAAACAAGCTCACTCTTTAAACAGTATTTCGCTACTTGATTAGCCAAGCACAGATGCAGTGGACGCCTTTGAGGCACGTTTTCAGGGTAGTTACTAAGGTACCGTCTTCAAATCCAGACTCTCTTCGCCTTCTGGAGAATTATCATCTGTATGTTCATGGTTTGGCTGTGTCATGTCCAGTTGCCTTCTTTCTGGACCACCAGAGAGAGAGGACTCTCAATCGGAGTCGAAACCTCGCTCATCGTAGCCAAACTAGAAGAGTTGACCCGTGGAAGCTGCTTGCATCTCTCGTCCGAAGGCCGATGCCGACAAACACCATGACGCTCCGCAAATGAACGTCGTAGGAATCCAAAATATGGTTTCATTTGGGCAAAGACACTGGATGAACACGCCGAAAGGGCGACACTAGGACGCATAGGCACGATCTGTGAACATTGCAGGAAACATGAGACATTATGGCAAGCGATACAGCCCTGGAGGTGTCAGCTGATCAATGTCTCTGAATTCAACTCGATACCACAGTGAAAGCAATTATCGAAGCTCGCAAAACACCCAGATCTAGGCTCCAACTTCGTGTGAACATCCACTAAACCGACCAATTCTGAACTCACGAAATCATCTATCGACTCAGTAGCACAGCCCGCCTGTCGCGAGTGCATTCCACCCCGTCCATTGTTTCCTGAATTGCGCCACAAACACACCATCGAACAACATGAACAACGTACCCAACCCTCCACCCTCCGCCCCAGCGCAAAAGCGACGGAAAATGTCACTCCTCGACACCTTCCGCGGGCGAAACGGGGGAAGTTCCACCTCCTTCATAACCACCTCCAACACCGGCATAATGGACACAACGCACGGCTCCGAAACCGACGAAGAAGACAACGAGGACAAAGCACAAGAGTATCTCAACAAGATGACCGACGACACAAATCGAAAAGTCGAAACCGTATTCGGCAAAGGCGTCGAAGTGTGGAAATCGTTCAACGGCACCATCTACGCCGATGTAAACGACAAGGTCAAGAGGAAACAGCGAGACGAAGAGGTGTGGGGAAAAAAGAGGAAGCGTGGTGGCGCGGACGGGCAGGGGAAAGTGTTGGAACAGCGGTTTGATTCGCTGCGGAACTCGACGTCTTCTTCTAGTTCTACCTCTACTGCTGCTTCTACGCCAACACGAGACCTACCGCAGAGTACATACTTCGACAGTACGATTACTTACCCTTCACTGCCAACGAGATACGATACCTCACTTCCATCTACACCTACAGCGTCGCAATGGGAGAACTTCCCGGTGCGGCCGTCTCAAGAAGCGGATTTCCCTGCTGCACCCTTGGAGTACAAGTCTCTGTCGAAGACGATGTCAGGGCTTGGAGGTACGGGTACAAGTATGCCTGGCAGCTTCGATCGGCCCATCAAGCCATTACCAGCACGTGTACACCGGATGGAGGCGGTTCAGACGACGGACAATACGTCTACATCACCGCGGTCAGATCTATCGAACTCCCAGGTACAACCCGTCACTCCTCCGCCCTCTACACCAACAAGCTTCTTTGGCACCATGCTATGCGGAGCTCGCAGGGTGATATCAGGGTCTTTTGGTAGTTTCGAAAGTACACAGGCGGACCGATTTGATGAGCGGACGTATAGGCTGTTACCAGGAAGTTTCTATGGGGTTGGCGAGAAGCAGAGTGACGGTGATGGAGAAGAAGATCGAGATGCGAATCATGAAATGGTCGAAGGAAGACCTTGGCTGAGGAAAGGGTAGGTGGGTCGATGTCTAGTGTGATGGGCAAGACGGGAAAGGTTCAAGAGTGGCTGGCTCCAAGTGTTGTGTCACAGGCCTTGTGTTGTCGTTCCACAGCAGCAAGGTACATAGTCAAATGGTTTGAAGAGACATATGATGGGCACCGGCAAGCAAGTCATATTCCACAATCATCATCCTGTCTCCATTCATATTCCTACACAATCAATAGCTGGGGTATAATAAACAACGTCGTACAAAAACTCGCGGACGATCCTACTCGTCGTCGTCATATCCATCTCCTACTGCGGCCCATCCGCACTGCCATCTCTTTCCTTCGCTCTCGCCACCCATGCGGAGGTCTCTAGCTTGACTTCCTTCTTTCCATCGTCGGACGCGGAAGTCGTCGCTCACGCTGATCAAGCTGCCGTTACGCGCCCATGATACGCTCGTGACTTCCGCATCGTGTCCTCGTATGAGAGCTGTGCCGTGTTCGTAGATGGGGATGGTGTCTAGGCAACGGCTGTTTGTCGATGTGCGGGCAAGCGTGGGTCGTGCGGATTTCGCGGCAATGCCAGTAATATCAGGGAGGTCGTCTGTGTCATCGTCGTGTCTTGTTTCGCGTTTGAGGAAGTTTTCGTCGGTGGGGAACAACACGGGGCAGCCGTCTGTGCTGCCTACTGCGAGCATCTCGGTGCGGTCTTCGCATGCTTTGCGCAAGGATGCCTTGACGTAGAAGGAGCCGGCGTGGAAGTTCTGGTGTCGGAAACCGTAGATAGGTCCCAGGCCTTCTTGGCCTACACCGCAGTATTTCTGTTTTGAGGAGGAGGTCGTGGAGAGCTCTGGTGCTACGCCGAGGATGAGGTGGCTTGTGGAGTAGGCGTAGACGGTGTTGTCTTTGCTGAGGGCGTATAGTCGTGATGCATCGCCGCTAAGAGTCAAAGAGTTGATGGCAAAGTGTCGGTGGCGGTTGTGGGATTCGGGATGGCGGGTGGTTGCGATGGGGATGGCTGGCCCTCGCAGGGAGTATCGGCCTCTGATGTCCCAGAGCTTAACGCATGTCGATGCGTCTGACGCGGTCAGGAGGAGGTGTTCGCGGCCTGCGGGCATGAACGAAAGCGCTGTCACTGAAATGTCGTTCCGTCGGCTGATGTTTTCGGTTTTGCTGTTGGAGAGTGATCGGGTGGCCGACGATGTGGATGTTGGGAGACTGATGTCCGCGTGCGCTGAAGCCAGCGTGCGTACAACACTGGCATACGGTGCATCGGAGCCCCAGGCTGAATGTATTGAGCCTTGGTTGCCCTTGCATCGGAGATCCCAAATCTGTACTGCACCGTCTCGACTTGACGTCGCTACCATCTTGTCGTCGCCGGGCTGAAAGCGGACTTGCTTTACTGACGACTTGTGTTTCGCCAGCACAGCAAGAGTTTGTTGGGTGCGAACGTCGACAATCTGTGCAGTCTGATCTCCAGAACCGGCGGCGAGGTGTAGGTCGTCTGAGGAGAACTGCACGTCCATGATGGCGTTGGAGTGGGCTTTCCATGACACATGGGGTTTGGAGAAGTCGCCTTCGGAGTCTTGTAGGTGGATGTATCCGTCTTCATCGCCTATTGCGAGCATAGAGTTGGCTAGGGGTTGTCAGTATCGTGATGACGTAGGGTAATGAGTGAATGACATACTGTTGCAACTGGCCGTGCAGAAGGGCGGCGCGCCCTGCGACAACTGATGTAGGTCGTCTGCGCCACTGTAGAAATTGGCTGCCTGGTCTTGCCATGAGGCGCCATGGTCTCGTCGAAACCCTCTTCCTACACCCAGTATTCCACCGAACGACCGCTGCAGTGTTCTTGACGGCCGACCCAATGTTGTTAACCTCCGGATGGGCGCAGGGTATATGGCAGGCTCCTCATCATCCAAGTCGAGCTCGTCTTGAAGTATATCGATTTCAGGCGGAGTGACGTAACGCGATCGCTTCGACGGTGACGACTGGGCTGGTGAGCTAGCGGGCGACAGGTAGGGTATCTTCCGCTTCCGCGCGCTGCTCTGGGGGGTTCGCATTGGGTTCTCGATGTCGACGAAGTTGACTGTCTTGCGTGGGGTGCTCCGCGTCTCCCGGCTGCGATTGAGAGCAGATCGTGTGATGTCTTGTAGTTGGCGACCCGACCTCGTGAGGGTGGTGCGTGATGAGACATCTTTGGAGTTTCGCGGGGTGAAAAAGCGTGTAAAGCGCTTGGGCGTGATAGGCGGTGGCCGTTTGGGTTTGCGAGAGCAAACAGTCGCGGAGGAGGGTGGAGGTGGTGATGAAAAGAGCTCAGGCGTGGGCTCTTGGAGCAGCAGACTTCGAGGGGCGCATGGAGAAGACATGTTCCTTTTTAGCAGTACACATACACAAGCAACACCAATAAACGACCAAGCGAAGACACGCGAGCAATTGAAGATGCCGATAGTAATAGAGGACGAATGCCCATAAATGACGGCGAGGTTGGAGAGGAAGGCGCACGGCCAAAGCACGTCGCGAAGAGCTGGCGCGACCGACGTGCTGCACTATGCCGTTCTGGGCGTTAATGGCCATGGTCTTCCCT